TCCTCCTGCTCCGCCTCCTCCTCCTCCTCCTCTTCCTCCTCCTCCTCCTCCACCTCCTCCTCCTCCTCCTCCTCCTCCTCCTCCTCCAGGGACGGAGGACCCCTGGGCGAGCGCGGCCGGGCCGTGGCCCCCCCGCCCCCCGGCAGGTTCGACCGGCAGGAGCCCGCGGCCCTCCCGGGCGCCCCTGGGGCGGAGGGGGGCAGATCGGGGGCAGCGCCGGCCGGCCGCGCGCGGACGGTCGGAGGAGTAAAAGGTACCCATACCTCTACCCCCCCGTTGGTTTTCAGTTTTTTGGGCCTCTTGGGCGGCCCTCGTCGAAACCGCTGGATTCGCCTCGAAATCCTGGTCAGAACGCACCCCAGGAGATGTCCGGGGAGTAGCGGTATCGGTACCTATTGGTTTCCCTAGACGGGGGGCACGTCGGGAGTCTCGGGGCGGGGGCCGGTGCCGAAGCAGTGTCGAAGCAGCAGCAGCAGCAGCAGCAGCAGCAGCAGCAGCAGCAGCAGCAGCAGCAGCAGCAGTAGCAGCAGCAGCAGCAGCAGCAGCAGCACTCGTGGCATATGCTTTAGCCGCGGGCGCAGCAACAATGATGGAGAACAAGCGGAGAGAAGGCCGTCCTGCTCCTCCCCCTCCTTCCCCTGATCCTCCTGCACCTCCTGCTGGTGCTGCTGCTGCTGCTCCTCCTGCTCCCCCCCTCTCCCAGTCCAGCTTGCAGGAGGAGGATGTTCGAGGAGGGCGAGGAGCAGGACGAGGAGGACGTGGAGCAGCAGGAGGCAGGGGCAGCGCGCCACCGTCGCCACCCTTCCCTTGGCTCAGCGCAGAACAGCAGGAGCAGCCGCCGGGCGCCCCGCGGGAGGATGATGGATCGCAAGACTTTGGCATCTTGTTTCAGCGACACAGCTTCCCTGAAGACCAAGAACACCTTCCTGGACTGTCAGTCGCCGTGGATCGACTACGTGAAGGTGGACGAGCGCCCGAAATCGGACCCCACGTCCGACTTCTCGTCCTGCTCGGTGTCCGAGCACTCCCAGAGCAGCGCGGGCCCTGGAGGCTGCAGGGCTCGGCCAAGACGGTGTTTTGCAGATTTCGTGGGCCGTTCTCGTTTCGACTCTGTTCTGCAGCAAAGGCAGAAGGAAGGCAACGCGCGGGAAAACGGAGCCAAAACGAACACGAACAGCACTGTCTGGGCCAATCCTTGCGAGGCTTCGAGATGCTGAGGCTGAGCAAGAGGGACCGTAATGTGACGGAGAGCTCGAGCCGGTCAGATCAGAGCAGCAGCACCGGGAACAGGCTCGTGCGGCGCAGCCAGGGCCCGCAGCCGCCGAGCGAGGGCGGGGGGCCCGACAGCTCGGAGGGCGACTCCCAGGCTCGGCGGCCACAAAGTGCGTGGTAGCGCCAGGGTGTGGTTTGCGATCCGCGGCGGTTGCCCTTGTCGGGCCACCTCGGGGCGCGGCGGAAAACTCTGCCAAGGGCCTCTCCCGCCCTCGAGGGTGCGGGTTGCGAACCACACCCTCTGCAAACCATGCCCTCTGGAGCCCCCGAGAAGAGGCGCTGAACAAGATCACCAGGATCACGAAGAGTTTAGTCAGGCACGTCCCTCGACAGGCGAAAACACTGAGAATAGTCAAAACTAGTCTGAAGACAAATTTTTGTCAACCATCCTGTGGTGTTGGGCCCTCGTTTTGAAATAGCGGTCTCCGCGTTCTTCTCCCCCCCTCCTGCCTCTTCCTTCCTCCATCACCATCATCATCACCCGTTTCAGCACACCCCTCATTCGTTTAGTGGCCCCATAGGGACCCCACCGAAGGTCCCAGTGTTACCGTCCGCATGCGTCCCCCGCACCTAGTACAGCGGTTCGTGGCCCTTTTCAAGAATCCCTTGCAAAACATGGGACGAAGTGCGCACGCGCGCGTCGTCGCGCGCGCATGCCGAAATCCTTCAAAAACCATCGTTTTCGGAAGGATTCCAAAGTCGAGTATTCAAACAAACATACAACAACACAAGGTTTCGCAACATTGATGTTCAAACAAAGCTTGCGCGCTTTTGCGAATTTCTAAGAAAGCTATGTTTTTTTTCAACAAGTTCAGAACTTGCTACCAAACGGGCTTCGCGCGCGCACGTCCGCCGCGCGCGCATTTCGAATTCCTTCCAAAACCTGCATCACCGACACGACGACGCCATCATCGTCGTCGGCGTGATGAGCATCGGCGCCGTCATTGGCTGCCCCGTCGTCGCTGTCAGCATCGTCGCCAGCATCGCTCCTATCATCTTCGTGTCTACCGTTGCCGACGTGCCCATAGTACCGCGCCCGCCCAAGTCGCCGACTCGTTTTGAATTGCCCGCTGGGCTGTGCCGAGCGGTCAGCGCCACCACGTTCGCGTCGGTCGCGCCAAACTAGCTGGCCGCTGCGCGAGTCTAGCGCGGCCGCAAAGATGCACCAGCCAACACCAAACACTCATCGCAATCGCCGCCGCATGGGTTTTGCAAACCAAGTTGCGGGTGGGAAGGTGGGATGCTTGCGCGAGCAGTGGAGTGGACGACTCACTGCGAACCGCCCGCCTGCGTCCCATACACCCAATTTGGCATTTGCACCCACCCAGTACAGCGCTTCGTGGCCCCAAAAGGATGTCCACCGAGGGCCCCAGTGCTAACGCCCGCATGCGTTCGTGGCCCCATAAGTAGCTCCACCGGAGCCCTCAGTGGGAGCGCGCGCGTGCGTCCCACACGCCCATTTTGGCATCTTCACCCACCCAGCACAGCGCTTCGTGCTCCCATGGGGAATCCCACCGACGGTTCCAGTGCTACGGCCCGGATGCGTTCTCCCCCACCAAGTGCAGCGCTTCGTGGCCCCATCGGGAGTTTCACCGAAGAAACTATTCACAATTGCGGTACCCACAACTGCATATGGTTGGGTCCTTTGCCAGGATCATTGATTATTGTTCTTTTCATTTTTTTGGGGAAGCTGAAAATGTTTAGACCGTGTTTTACTTCCCGCCCCAAATCCCCGTGTAGGAGGACATGCCCGACCTAAACGAAGAGACGGGGGCGCGCGGCACGAACAAAACCTTTCGACTTTCCTCGCGGCTCTCTTGGGTCGGCGCCTGGGACTTTCTTGGCGGCGCCTCCAGCTCCTCCCGTGGCGCGCTCCGCGCGCAAGGGGAGGGGTGTGCAGCGCCGATCCGAGAACTTCGCGCGGACCTCCGAGAGCGTATGATTACTTTATAGCCTTCGCCGCTGCAGGACGCAGCGGCGCCGCCTGCAGCGGAAGTCCGTGAAGGAGTCGGCCAAGTGGGAGGTCCAGGGTTATGATGTTCCGACCTACTTGGACCTCGATCACCAGCCAAAATGTCGAACAGCAGGAAAGTACCGAAACTGGTGAGTTTTCACTCGTCGGGCCCTGGGATACGATACTCGTTCGACAGTGCTTCAATGCTTTTCTGGGGGCTCGAGATTCTTTCTGGGTCGTGGTCCTTGAGTACGATGGGAACTACATAAGGTCCAGGCCAGCAGCGCGACAGCGATGCAGCAGGGCACCACCAAGATCTCCCTGTGATCTGCCCGTGCGCGGCGGCCTTGGCCCTGGTGGGCCGAAACGCGAAGGCCCAATCTCCGCCGCCGGGTGCGGCGGCGGCGGCGCCCATCGCGCAGGCTCTCAGCGTTCGGCTTCAATCGGGCGTGACCCTCTACAGGAGGAATATTCGGGGTCTCGTAGGGAGCTCCACCGAAGCCCCCAGTGGGACCGATCGCATGCGTCAGCCACCACCCAGTGCAGCGTTTCGTGGCCCCATACGGGGCTCCACCGAAGGCCCCGGTGGCACCGCCCGCATGCGTCAACCACCACCCAGCACACCGCTTCGTGGCCCCATAGGGGTTTCCTCCTAAGGCCCCAGTGGCACCGCCCGCATGTGTCAGCCACCACCCAGCACAGCGCTTCGTGCCCCCATAGAGCTGCACCGGAGTCCCAGCGGGACCTCCGCACGCGTCGACCACAACCCAGCACAGCGTTTCGTGGCCCGATAGGCAGCTGCACCGGATTTCCAAGTGGACCGCCCGCATGCGTGAGCCACCATTCAATACAGCGATTCGTGGTCCCAGAAGGGCTCCACCGAAGGCACCAGTGGCACCGCCCGCATGCGTCAGCCACCACCCAACACAGCGATTCGTGGCCCCATAGTGAGCTCCACCAAAGGCTCCAGTGCGACCGACCGCATGCGTCAGCCACCACCCAGCTCCCATAGGGGGCTCCACCGAAGGCCCCAGTGGCACCGCCCGCATGCGTCAGCCACAACCCAGCACAGCGTTTGGCGGCTCCATAGGGAGCTCCACCGAAGGTCCCAGTGGCACCGCCCACATGCGTCAGCCACCACCCAGTACAGCGTTTCGTTGCCCCATAGACAGCTAGCTGCTCCACCGAAGGTCCCAGTGGCACCGCCCGCATGCGTCAGCCACCACCCAATACAGCGCTTCGTGGCCCCATGGGGGGCTCCACCGAAGACCCCAGTGGCACCGCCCGCATGCGTCAGCCACCACCCAGTACAGCGCTTCGTGGCCCCATCGGGAGCTCCACGTAATTTCCCAGTGGGACCGCCCGCATGCGTCAGCCACCACCTCGTATAGCGTTTCGTGGTCCCATAGGGAGCTCCACCGAAGGCCCCACAGGAAACGACCGCATGCGTCAGCTACCACCCAACACAGCGCTCCGTGTCCCCATGGGTGGCTCCACCGAAGCCCCCAGTGGCACCGCCCGCATGCGTCAGCCACCACCCAGTACAGCGCTTCGTGGCCCCGTAGGGAATTCCACCGAAGGACCCAGTGGGACAGCCCGCATGCGTCAGCCACCACCCAGCACAGCGATTCGTGGCGTCGTAGGGGGCTCCACCGAAGGCCCCAATGGCAACGCCCGCACGCATCGCTCACCACCCAGTACAACATTTCGTGGCCTCACTGGTAGCCCCACCGAAGGTCCCACTTGGACCGCCCGCATGCGTCGTCCACCGCCCAGTACAGCGTTTCGTGGCCTTCGAAGTGGGGCTCCACCGAAGACCCCAGTGGCACCGCCCGCATGCGTCAGCCACCACCCAGAACAGCGCTTCGTGGCCCCATAAAGGGGCTCCACCGAAGGCCCCAGTGGCACCGCCCGCATGCGTCAGCCACCTGCCAATACAGCGTTTCGTGGCCCCATGGGGAACTCCACCGAAGGCACCAGTGGCACCGCCCGCATGCGTCAGCCACCACCCAGCACGGCGTTCCGTGGCCCCATAGTGAGCTCCACAAAAGCTCCAGTGCGACCGCCCGCATGCGTGAGCCACCACCCACCACAGCGCTTTGTGAGCCCAGTTGGACCGCCCGCGTGCGTCAGCCACCACCCAGTTCAGCGCTTCGTGGCACTATGAGGAACTCCACCGAAGGTCCCAGTGGCACCGCCCGCATGCGCCAGCCACCACCCAGCACAGCGCTTCGTGGCCCCAAAAGGGGGCTCTACAAAAAGACCCCAGCGACACCGCCCGCATGCGTCGTCCACCACCCAGTACAGCGTTTCGTGGGCCCATTGATTGGAAGCTCCACCAAGCCCCAGTGGCACCTCCCGCGTGCGTTCCCCCCACCCGGTACAGCGTTGAGTGGCCCCGTAGGGAGCTCCAGAGGCCCGCCCGCATGCGACCCCCACCCAGTACAGCGTTTCGTGGGCCCATAGGGAGCTCAACCGAATGCCGCAGAGGCACGCCCGCATGCGCCCCCCCACTCCCATGGCCCCATAGGGAGCTCCACCGAAGGCCCCAGTGGGACCGCCCGCATGCGTCGGCAACCACCCAGTGCAGCTTTTCGTGGCCCCGTTGGGGGCTCCACAGAAAGACCTCAGCGGGACCGCCCGCATGCGTTTCCCTCAACCAGTACAGCGTTTCGTGGCCTCATCGGGAGCTCCAGCCAGGGGCACCGCCCGCATGCGTCAGCCATACCCAGTACAGCGCTTCGTGGGCCCACAGGGAGCTCCACCGAAGGTCCCAGTAGCACCGCCCGCATGCGTCCCCCCCCACCCATTACGGCATGTCCCTCACGCGCTTCGTGGCCCCACAGGGAGCTCCACCGAAAGCGGCACCCACAACGCGTTATTCACGATTGAATATGGTTGGGTCTTTCGCTCGGATAATTTGATCATCTTTCATTGCTCGTCCAAGATCCCGCTTGTAGGGGGACACGCCCGACCTAAGGCTCGCCCCATGCCCCAGGGCCGCCCCCCAGCAGCCACCGGGGAAGAGCAGCCTGCGGGGACTCAACTCTGCGCCTCCCACAGGGGGGTCCGAACAGTTCGGGGTCGGCGGGTCGCGCCGCATCGCCGATGCACCCGCGATGCGGCTCGATGTGGAGCCCGATGCTCTCCACGCAGATGGCGCCGATGCAGCGCCGCCGCCGCGGATGCCACGGCGATGCATCGGCGCTGTGGCGTGGTCCTCCGGCTCCATCTCCTCGGACACCCCGGCTGCGAAGCCTCTTCCAGCTGGCCGCGGCAAACCCCGCCACCGTGCTTGTGCAACAGTGCAGCAGGAAGGAGTCAGAGTGCAGGACCAGCGTAGTTCCGAGGATTGGTTGGAACCGAGACGGGTCGTGCACTCAGCCTCGTCTTCGACCGCGCAGTAGGAAGAAAGTCGGTTTCACGCGCGGTAGGTGGGAGTTCACGCTCCGCGGCAGTTCAGGGAGTGGTTTGAATTGAGCTGGGTCGTGATCTCGACCTCGCGTTCGCCCGCGCGGCACGGAAGAGCCAGGACTAGGAGGAGGCTTTTGATGCCCTCTTGTCGGAGCCTCCTGAAGGCCTCTTTGCGGCCTTTGGGGGAGCCTCCTGGGGCATATTTGGGGCCAATTGGGTCGTTTTAGAGGGCCAGTTGGCTTGTCTGACGCTTTCGGAGGCCGTCTTGGGGGCTTCCATAGGCCACCTTGGTGCCCTCTTGAAGCGTCTTAGGGCCGTCTTGGGAGGCTATTGATCGATTGTTGGATCCTCTTGAGCCTACTCGGGTCCATCTTGGGGGCCCCATGGGCTTTCTTGGAGCTATCTTGTGGGCCTCTCGGGCCGTCTTGGGTGGTCGGAAGCCCAAACAGGCGAGAACCTCAACATCTGTCAAACATCAGAAGGAATATTAGCCTGGCGACGGACCCAACCATTTACAGTTGTGAACACCGTCGTTGTATGCACCGCATTCGGAAGAGCTCCCTATAGAGCCACGAAGCGTGTGATGGGTGTGCCAAAATTTGTCCGGTGGGCTCATGCGAACGCAGCCACTGGGGCCGTCGGTGGAATTCCCTACGGGGCCACGAAACGCGTGAGATGTGTTCTGAAATAGGTGCGGTGGGCGCAGCCACTGGGGCCTTCGGTGGAGCTCCCTATGGGACCGCAAAACGTATGATGGGTGTGCCGAGGTGGGTGTGGGGGACGCATGCGAATGCAACGACTGGCGCCTTCGGTGGAGCTCCCTATGGGGCCACGAAGCGCATGAGGGGTGTGCCCGAATGTGCGTGGGTGACGCATGCGGGCGGTGGCCTCGGGGCCTTCGATGGAGCTCCCTAGGGGGCCACGAAGCATGTGAGGGGTGTGACGAAATTGATGTGGGAGACGCATGCGGGCGGTAGCACTGGGGCCGTCTGTGGAGCTCCCTATGGGGGCACGAAACGTGTGAGGGGTGTGCCGAAATGGTTGTGGGGGACGCATGCGGGCGGTGCCACTGGGGCCTTCGGTGAAGCTCCCTATGGGGCCACGAAACGTGTGAGGGGTCTGCCGAAATCGGTGTGGGGGGCGCATGCGGGCGGTCCCACTGGGGGTTTCGGTGGAGCTCGGGCCACGCTACGAAACGTGTGAGGGGTGTGCCACATTGTTGGCTTTGGGGGACGCATGCGGGCGGTCCCCCTGGGGGCTTCGGTGGAGCTCCCTATGGGGCCACGAAGCGTGTGAGGGGTGTGCCAACATTGGTTTGGGGGACGCATGCGGGCGGTCCCTCTGGGGCCTTTGGTGGAGCTTCCTATGGGGCCACGAAACGTTGTACTGGGTGGGTGAAGCGCAGGGAGGAGAGAGGAGGGGGGAGGGGGAAGGAGGGAGGAACGCGGGGACCGTCTCTTCAAAACGAGGACCCAACACCACAGGATGGTTGGGAACAATGGTTTCTGCGTCCTGGGGCTTGCTGGGAGGGCCTGTTGGAGTCTTCTCGGGCCGTCTTGGGGGGCTCTTGAGCAGTCTTGCGGCGCCATCTGGAGCCGTTTTGGTGCGGCCTTTGCTGTCTGAGAAGCCGTCCTG